TGTGTGCTCAACTCTCCCTTATTATTATTTTTTTAAAATAAATTGTAAGATTTAAGAAATTTTAATTTTGAAACATGAAAAACACGCGAAGACTAAATCTTAAATGCATCAAGGATGGCCATATGTTTCTACCTCCCTATTATCTTGGTACATGCGTTTTCGAATAATCATTTTTTTTTTTGTTTTTTTACATTTACTGTTCTACTTGAACATTTTTACATTAATACGTTATTAATAATGACTTGGAAGTGTCACTTGGACATATTTACAAAATCGATACTTAGCAATGTACATGTTTGTTAAACTTAAGACGATAAGCCTTCATTTACAAAATGAAGAAAATCTCCAAAAGATTTTTGTTGAGAATAAAAAGAAAATAAAAAATGGAACGAAAAAAAGAAAAAGGAAAAAGTAAAAAAAAAAAGTAATTGAAATGTTGATACAGGAAATGATGCTTAATAACTATATATCTGACACTCTCTTCGTGAGTGAAATAACATCGATCACAGCACTGTTTTAGGAAATCGCGATCATGTTCATTGACGAGTATACATACGTGCGCGAGTTAACGTGTTTATATCCAAGCGGATTTCCGGCTATGCTTGGTCCTGGGTACTTGCCCTTTGCCGTCCTTGAGCTTGTTGAGCAGACCCTTGAACTGCAGAATGTCGGTCTGCGAAATACGTTTGACGGTGTTGTTTGTCATCCAATTGAGTAGCTTCTCGCCCGAGAGCATAGCGTCGTCGAAACTGATGGCGCTCTCCTCGCTTTGGTTGTAAGCAGTGGCCTCCTGGCACATGATGTCGTCGAGCTTGGCCTTGACGGATGACAGCTTCGTGCTCAGGTTCGTCGGCATCGAGGAGGCATCGGTCGAACTGACCGCGGTGGCCGTGGAGTCGAGCGAGCGCACGGGCGTGCCGAGGCTCTTGAAAGCCTGCCAGAAGTTCGTCGGCACGGTCTCGCTGGTACTGTGCTGGGCCGATTCCTTCCAAGCTTGCAGTGTTGTGTCGTTGAGCACGAAGCCGGGCCTCGGGATCGGGCTGCTACGCCTATTGCCGTTGCTTCCGTTGCTACTACCGATACTACCGCTGCTGTGGTGCGAGGGAATGAGCATCGTGGGCGGCTCGGCGGCCGGGGACATCGATTGCCTCGACGCGGAGCGCGCATTCGAATCCGCGAGCGAGGACATCGGTGCCACCACGGAGGCATGAGCGGACGACTGGCGCCGGCTGCTGCTGCTACTGTTCGTACTGTTACCATTACTGTTGGCGCTGGTGTTGTTGTTGTTGTTGTTTATATTACTGCTGTTGTTCTTGATACTGTTGATGCCGGTACTGCTGCTGGTTGTGGGTTTTTGTTTGTGGTACTGCAGTCCGTTGTCCACGAAATTCACGGTCAGAGGATTGGCGACGTTCATGGGCAGGGAGCTCGCCTGCTGCAGGAAGAATTTTTGGTACAAGGAGGCCGTCACGCTGGCGCTCACCAGATTGCTCTGGATGATCTTTCTTTGCTCTTCCGAGAGGCTGTTGTAAATTTGGGCGTAGTTGTTGAGGAAATCGTAGTTTGTAGACGGGCTGGCCGACGAGGTGCTGGCCAAACTACTCAAACTGCTCGCCAAGTCGGTGCCATTGGTATCGACTACCGCCGCGGTCGTGCTGCTCGCAGTGACGCTCTGTTGTGGTTGTTGTGACGGCTGCTGTTGCACCAGCAACTGTTGTTGCAGCTGGTGGTCGAGTTTACGTTTCTTTGGCGGGTTGCTGCAGATAATCGCAGGCGAGTTGACGACCACTGCTGGCGCGGTCTCCTCGTCGTCGCTTGTGGCGCGGGGAGGCGGTGTGCCGCTGCCCGCAGAGTCGGGGGAGTACGGGCTGCTGTCCGGTGACCCCGAAGGGTGCGTGCTCGTGACCTGCCGGCGGATCTTGTGCTCGGTTTTGCACCAGCCACGCAGGGTCGACTCGGGTACGCCGAGTTCCCGGGCCACCGAGGCTTTGCTCTCTCCCGAGGTGACCCGCTCGATCGCCCCGAGTTTTTCCTCGGGACTGAGGTTCGGCCGGTTGCCCCTCCTCGGCTGCTGGGTCGTTTCGCCGCGCATCCTGGCGAGCGTCTCCTCCAGAAGCAACTGCTCTCCCAAAATCAAATTCACTTTGCCGGTCTGGGGTCGAAAACTCAAGAATTCGACTACACAACACCTACAACCGTATAATGTATACGCAGGTGTGTACCTTTCGTTTATTACCGGCGCACTGTGTTTACACTTGCACTCGTAGTATTATTAACTATCTTTTAAAAATCAGACAAACTCGTGTAAGCCTTGCTTCTCACGCATAAGTCTCTCTGAGATTGTTGACGATTTTTTAAAAAAGTCAAAAAAACACAGCCGCAGTAGCACTTGTTATTTACTACGACGACACCGCGTGTCTTGTCTTTTCGAAATTAAAAAACACCGTTGGGCACTGATGTTATTCGAAGTCACTCTAAAAGCACAGGTCAAGGTGGTTATGTGGCAGAGCACAAGTATCCGAAAACATCGGATGAGCTCTCGAAGAAAACCGAACAACACAAGCACTGATGACAATGAAGGCTAACAAGTGAGGACCTGCTTCTACCGGCTGCTCGAGAGCATCTGGTCCGTCAGCGGCGCCGCGCGGGGCTTTTACAGCCTCGGCCAGACTTGGCGCTGTAGGTGCTGCCACCTGGCACGGGTGCGCGGGAGAGGGATGGAAAGGGCATCGGTACTGCCACGGAAGGGAGGAGAAGGGAATAACGCACCCACAGTGGTGTACTCGTGGGCGGCGAATAGTGTGTGTATGTACGTGTGTGCTCAACTCTCCCCAACCCCAACTCTCTCTCTCTCTCTCGGGTTCGTGTATAAGTGTAGCACATGCGCTGGGGTATCTCTAAACCGGAGAGGGAGAGTAATAAAGCCTTTTTATGAATGAAACAACTCTGCCCCTGACTGCACAACTCTCCCACCACTATGCATTTCGCTCTCGTTTCTCGCACTTTACCCCGCCCCCCCCCACCCCTTTACCCAACTGTATATGTACGGTTGTTTCATACATATAACACCATGCGCTGTACCACTCTGAGCGCTACATTTTCTCTCTCTTTTCATGGATGCCGTATACACTTACTTTATAGTATACTTATTCTTCTCCATATGCGGCGAAAGATAAGGGAAGAAAGTGAAAGTGTAACGCCACGGGTATATAATATATAGGTACAACCCACTTGTTTGTGAAGTAGTAACGTGCTTCACTCGCGTAAGATAAAAAATAAACTCCTGTCGTTCTGTGGAGCTCGAAAAATTTCGTACACGCGCACAAGCTTTTTCCAGTTAACTCTCGGCGATCCCTAATGACTTTTCGAACGCGCGTCATAAATTATAGTGCGTCCATTTCAGGCCGCTACTTTTCCAGTACACTTATACTTTTAGCTAAAATTCTCTCCTAACTTTTCACTTCATCCCTTGAGTTGCGCATCATCATCATCTGCGTGCATTCGCGTTACATCGTTACATGGGCCACTTGCGCAAGAACACCCGCCCAGTAGCCAATGCTTGAATAATGACGTGAAATTACCACCCACTCCACGCGCATGACGTATATATTCATTACTGAATAAACTGTCCGAATACACAACTTTTTTTCTCTCTCTTTTTTTATGCTCTTTTTTTTCCCCTTCCGTGACCTTGACTTCGGCGTCGAGTTATTTCTGGATTGTGCATTGTATACGTATATACGCGCGTGTATATGGCTACATGCAGGCGGGCTGCGCGCACGCGGTGTCAGAGAAAAAGAATATACTTACGGATAAGGTGCGCGTTTTCTCGGAAACAATGCGACACCCGAAACAAACAACCGAGCCGATGATGCAGCCGCGCGCCTTCCATGTTATCGGAGCAACAAAAATTCTGCCCGTAAGGCATGTAATATACACCTTATCGCGTCTCGACCGCGTTTTGCTGTCGGTGATGTGTTAATGTAAATACATCTATGACCCGTTTATTTGTGTACTGCTCGACAGATGTGTATATACGAGTGCGCTAGGCGTGCATGGCATGTTTTTCCATTTTTCTCTTTCTTGTTTCTTCTTTCTCTCTTTGCCGGGGCAGCGCGCGTATGTCCGTTCCGAGAAATTTCGGGCTACACGCGCGACACAAATACCAATCAACTTTGCGCCGATGCGCCTTACTGTGCACGCCATAAATTTTGGAGTTATTTTCTCTCTGCGTATTTCTTTGGAAAATCCTACCCGGAGAAGAGGAAAAGCGCTTTCACACGGCCGACGAGTCCCATCCAGTCTTTTTTTTTTGTTATCCATTATCATGTCGTATCGACTGTTGACACGCGCGATTGAGATTGAGATTCGCGGGCGAGACATCATTTTTCGCGGACCGCGATTTTGTTTATTTTTTTCTTTTTGTCAACGCCAGATTCGTGACTCGACGTCTCGGGTTGTTTGCTCGGATATCGATTTCCCAGCTGTAGGACGCTAAAAAGTAAAAAATAAAAGGAACTTGCTCGCGTTGTGGCGTATGTGGGACCATATAATATTTGACGTGGAAAAGCGAAAGTACTCGGAATGGAAGATGCGAGGCATGAGAGAGTTCCCGATTTTCTCTTGATGACTAATTTCAGGTAGTGTGGTGCCAACAGTTTCATTTTTCCCATTTTAACTCACGCGCAACAACGCACGGACATAAAAACACTTGTACCCGCGAATCTAAAATCAACGGGCGCACGGGAGCAAATAAAAAAAATAAAAAATAAAAATTCGTGCAACAGCAGCAGCTACACATTATATATATGTACTTATGTACGAAAAAAGAATAAGAAAAGACCAATAAACGTCAATATTTGTGCTCGCCTCGCTTCCTCTTATCATCGCCGTCTCCTCGTCGACACTTACATAAGAGGTGCTTTCTTTTGGATTGGGAGTAAATAAAAAAAAAAAAAAAAAAAAAAAAAAAAAAAAAAAAAAAAAAAAAAAAAAAAAAAAAAAAAAAAAAAAAAAAAAAAAAAAACAAGAAAAACGAAAAATTAAACCAAATATCCGTGCATGGGAGTCCTCCACCCCCCTTTCCCGGCAATACCTACAGTGACTCATATTAGAATCGTACTAATTGTGAAAGAAAGACAGAATCGCTATTTAATTGACGCACGGAAGGGCGAGCGTGTATATATAACTATACTTAAAACGTATGTATACGCTGACAAAAGAGTCACGATCGAGAGCCGCATTCGATGAGCGTCCCGTTTTATCCGATCGCGCGCACAAGCTCGGCTTACGTTTCGTCACTCGCCCCTCTATCTATGTATACTTATCAGCGCACTCCCCCTTGCACTCGCCGTTGTCTTCTTCACTTTCTTTTCGCTTCCTCTTTTTTTTCTTCTTCTTCATTTATACTTGTCCGACCGATTCTACGTTGTACACCTAATGCAGCCTATACTATAATATAACTTTTGCTTTGACTCTGTAATTTTGACATTATATGACTATAATTTTTTCGTCATTTTCTTTCGACTCCATCAATGTTGCCCTGCAAAACATCAAGTTTTTGTTCGACACCATACAACTCTTTTTCCTTTTTTTTTTGCGGGTATAGGTATACAAGTGACGAGTTCACTGTAAGCGTCCCTCGATTGGCCAATTTCGTGTAGGTTACACACGGTATCGAGTCTATATATATATACTCTCCGAATCGCCCCAGCACACAAGTCGAATCGAGAGCTCGCACATGTATACGTATACAAAATGGGTATGTGTGTACAGTATACGCGGGACACGCACGTCCAATCTTTATAATAACCCTCGCGGCGTTGCTTCGCGGACCCCTCGGCGCGCTCTTTTTCCCCCTTCGGCCCCCCTCGGTGGTGCGCGAGCGACGGTAGCTCGCGAGATCGAGGTCTTTTCTTTCTCGCGCGCGTGCACAGACACGCACGCGCGAATATCATACAACGTACACGCGGAGGCCAAATAACTTTGCCCCTCGCGGTGGCTCCTCTTTCTCCTCGCCTCATCTTTCACACGTGCACGCACACGTATGTGTTTATGATTATTATGTTGTGTAGCTGTGGGGTCGGATTTCGGACTTGATGCATGCGTGATCGAGTTTGAGCACCTGCTGATTTACCAAAATAAACAAAACAAAAAAATAGAAAGTTTTTCCACCATTACACAATGGTGTATAGGTCAATCTCCAAAGCGATAGCGCGTACATAGAATTCTGAAATCGGACCCCTGTTTTACGTGCGAACAAACACGCGGGTGAGCCAGAGAGCAGGGAGAGAGGCGCCTTTCGCGCCTCGGACGTAAATATAAACGGCACATGTATATATTATATTATATATGGGTACCTCTTATCTACAATGTGTGTACAAAACAAAAGTAGCGGAGGAAAAAAAGCTGAGGGGCCTGTATGTAGCGTACTCGTGGGAGAAAAATAAAAAATTCCGCGCCGGGAATCGTTGTTATTGTCATCATAGATTTACTTTAAAATCGGCACTTCTTGTTCGATCGTATCGCGGGGGGCCATCGGATTTTCCAGGCGCTGCAAGTTTATCGCGTTATTCGACACGTGGACTCCAAAATAAGTTACATGTAATATATATATATAGGTGTAGTGCACGGCGACTTGACCGGCGTTGAATGTAATATCTGCCGAAGGTCAAAATTCACGTCGGGCGTTAACGCAGCGACGTATTAGCGCGGCGCAAAAATCACGCGCGCATATATTTATATTCGTGTGTATAATGTATATAGTATCACTCTCCGCCTCTGCCACGCTCGCGAAGGTCTTTTCTCGGACGCGTCGTCGTCGCATTTATATAATTATACGAATGCGCTTTAATGAAACCCTCGTTAAAACGAAATCACGCTGCTACTGTTATTTATGAACCCTCGAACTGTTTTTAATTGCTTTTCGAAAAATACATCTTTGTCATATATACCTACGAAAACAAATATATGTGAATATATAAGATAATAATTGGCCAAGTGACGGCGCCGCGTAATAACAACACGCGGATTTCCCTCGGAGTAACAATGTTATACACCGCGTGAGGGGTAACAGAAATTTCGGACGGTTTGATGTTTTCGGTCACAAGCGAATCGTCGATCGAAGCGGAGCGCTATATCGCGTCCCGATCGTCGGTTCGTTGCGACGATGTTTTTTTTTTTTTTTTTATATTCTTCGGCAGCGCGAAACGTTATTCATCTCGCCATCGAGAGTTATTTCACAAGCGCGCGATGTTATGCAAATGGAAGTAAAATTTGTGCAAGCATGTTGTTCGTTGCACCCGTGCATGGGACGTAGGTATATGCGTTATTTTCGGTTTTTTCCTTGATATCGCGGATGGACACCGCTGTACTCGGATAAAAAAGAGGGGCGATGTAACGGGGGCAGTGGATAAAACGGTCGGAAATGCTCGAGGGACGTAATACGCGTTGCGTTTCGAAACGAGGAAAGAGAAAAAGGTTGACGCTTCGGGGCTTATTGGGGTGCATGGGGGAGGGAAACCTAATGCACGGAGGAACGAGGGCGAAGGGTGAGAGAGCGGCCGGTAATGGAGAGGGTCCGAAGGAT